ATACTGTATATTAAAAAGATGTAATTCTCTCTCACACAGATTTAGCCTGATATTAGTTGTGTGGTTCTCAGAAATGTTTTCTATGAACTACAAACATTTGTCTTTCACTTTACTGTCTGTAATTGCTATAACAGTAAACTCATGATCCCATTTACAAAAGATCCCCCAAAAGGAGATGAAACACCTCTGTCACAACCATTTTCCCTGATGTGATGGCTAGCAGTTGAAGACTGACTGGACAAGTATTTCCACAGGAAAATTATTTGGGTCAACATTCATATTTGAGATCAAGTCTCTACTAGATAAGATGTTACTTTCCACAACTATTAAAATATCTAGATTGTAATAATATAAAAAAAAAATCAGTGCAAATATTCAGTTCGTTCCAACTTTTTCTGTTAATTTTGGGAGGTGTTTTATAGCATGGTGTTGGACACTCTCTACCTCGATAATGTCAGCCTGACATTCTTCCCTATGTTTTCCAAATCCACCTCCAGACATTTAATCTCTCTTTGTTACAGCTCATCTTACACCATGTAAACCCAGTAGAGACTAGCTAATTTTCCAGTGAGTGTATTGCTTATGACTGAAAGTGGCCTTGAAACAGAACACTGTATCTAAACACACAGGACCTTTGAGAAATTTGTGTGTGAATTCTGCCCAGTTTAACAGCTCAGCCATATTCTTATCTGCAATGTAATCCTTCACGAGACTTCAGAAATACAACAAAATTGCAGATGTGCATCTCTGATAAGAATTCTCCATCCATAATACAGTAACCTGTAACTAAACCAGGCATTTAGATTTTATTAAGATAGCTTTATCCAAAGATACCACATAAAGGAAAAGTTATCAGAGGTTGTAGATGGTGGGTGGAAGAGAGCAGTGAGTCACACTCACCATGAGTAAAAGTGCTGAGCCTCTGAGAAGCATTGCTAACATGTCTGTGAAAAAACAGCTCTCTTCCTCTCCACAACAGCATTTCAGAAAGAAGACAACTGAGTATTCGTGGCAAAATCAATACTCATTGTTGCAACCTTGGGGGGCAGGACCAGAGAAGTTCCAAAGCTTTAAATTTTTTAACTAAAGAGCTGTCAGTAACATTTTTTTAATGCAGAATAGTCAGCCGTCCGGATCATTCAGAACAATTCAACGGTCTTTCATCAACCCAAGGGAGAAATAATAAAATAACTATTTTTAATATGGGATATTACAGGCAACAATCTTCCAAGAACTATGGGAATCAATGATTTGGAACTTACACTTTGCAATTGATGGGTGGATGCTCTTCGGTGAGATACACAGCAATTTCAAAGACAGTCTCAGAATATGTATGAGTCTCCACCTTTCAGGCAAGAAGCATTTACTGTTTGTTATACATCCACTGGGAAAAACTTGGCTACAAGGGCATTCAAGCCAGCAGAATCAAATGTGAAAGACAATTTCATATCCAGAAACACACACAAGAACTGCTTTTCAAATCCTAATCTCACACACTACTTAACCTTGTGCACTGTTATAATCTCACTAAAGCCAGAAAGACTATATATCGTTCTGAAATGTTAAATATATAGCAAATGTTTTAAAGAGCCCCTTAAAAATTGAAGGAAGCAAGAGTAACAGTTTCAATGCATGCAGAAGTCTTTCCTATAAAAGTGCCCCTGGAATTGCAGTTATTTTGGTAAAATCTCCATCACCAAAACAAATTTAAAAAAATAAATCTGTCTTTTATGAGGGCCAAGTTGCGTATGATTCACAATGACTAACACCATGTCTTGCCTTGTGAATAGGCTCCTTTGTGGTAAAGGGAGAAAAGGTGGTAAGAATCTTCTACTTGATAAATTCACACTGCCCTAGCATTATGAGTTTATGCAGGACAAATTACTCCACCAAACTACATGGAAATTCCTAAGAAACAGGTGTGCATGGAGCAGAGGATGAAAAAAAAAATTAGGTTTGATTCCAAATAAACATTTCTTGTCCTTATTTTCCTGTCTTTTTTCTTCCTCATTTGTTACCCTATAAGACATTCCACTTGAGCCAAAACAACAGGCTTAATTTTGGAGAGCACATTAAGGTAGCAAAGGAGGACGTACAAGGAACTATTTTATCTGAAATAGAAGAATCTCAACCAATGGGTGGGGGAAGACTTTGTCCAGAAACTCTTTTCCCAACATTCGTTTCTCCCTTACAACATTCATCAATATAACCAAAAAGTTTTCAAATAATCAAAGCATCATTTCTAAGGAAATGAACTTCCCAGTAAAAATCCAATCAGCTCTACTTTTGAGTATAATCTTCTGGAGTTTTGTTTTTTTTTTTTTTTTTTTTAAGAGAGATTCTCTGCCTCACCTCCAGAAAGTTACAGCTAAGAACACAAAGCCAAAGTCAGGTAGGATACCAAGGTGTCATTACCACCATACCCTCTCTTTTCCGACCTACTTCCAAAGCAAATCCTGAGCTTCACTGAGTTTAGACAGTCTCAAAGTCCTCTGCAAGCCATGACAGCCTGACAGCAGCCAACAGCACCACAATGCTCAGTCCACAGCATTACTCTTGCCCTATCCTTCTCTTCCCCTCCCCCCACCCACAAATAACACTGCCCCCTAAATCAAGCCACCACGAGGGACAGTAGACAGGAACTCCGCTATCATACTCTAAGTTCCTATATACTCCTGCCTAACTTCCTCTTAAATCTCCGGCCATACATTTTGGTTGCATACAAACGCTGCAGACAAGGCTGAAAATTTTAATCTCAGGAATTCAGACTGTACTCCTGTACAGGTTAGATGAGCACTAGTGAATACAATCATTAGTTTGTAAGATCCGTTTGCTCTTTCGGTATTATTAGTAGTATTTTTTTGCAACTGTGTTTGGAACTGACTTCCAACCAGGGTCCCTAGCCAAGTAAGAAGTATCCTTCTCACCTGAATGAAGAAGAGAATGGCAGAATGAAGACACTCCTACCACATAACAACAGATGAAAATGTTCCCCTGTCCTATTAAACAGAAATTTTAGTAAACAAATTGCAAGAATCTGTAACCCACTAAAAGTGACATTTAGTCCTATCTATTTTCAGGGTCATTATATCCACCAACTACCTCAAAAAGGTTCTCTTCAGGACAGATGGCTACTTTTCTCACACATTACTGTGCCTGAATTTGAGGAGCATTTGATCTGTCTCACTCTTACACTGTTTACGGGGAAAAGGCATTCGCCATTCTCCATCTAGTCCCTTGCCCAAAAGCTGCTAATTCTAAATCGAACTCTTGAGTACTTTGACAAGATGGAGACCCTGCATGGCATATCATCTGGGAGCCTGGGATTTATCCTCTTGAAGTTAGAGTCGGGTCAGGCAACAGGACTGCTCAGATTGCAAGATCTTTGGGGTGAGAGTTGTTCTTCTGGTACATAGTTACACAGCAAACAGCAGAACCTGACTGAAAGTCCAAAGGATGGAAGATTTGAGATACTATCTTTCAATTATCATCTAGGAAGTCTTTGCACAACTTATGTCTTCATTTTTTTTTTTTTTAGTCAAACATAGCACTTTCCTGCTCTACAATGCAAGATATTTAGCAATAGCTGTCAATCATGGAGACTAACTAGGGAGAAAAAGAGCACTCACACAAAAAGAGCTGTGTCTGATGCGAAGGTATCTTCCAAATTCAGAGAGACTATAACTATCCTCTGACCAGTTTTCATTTTCGCACAATTTCAGCTTCACAAACTGCAATCAAAATAATTGTGAACTGCACTGAGCTGGGCATGTACTTGGTTCGTAAGATTTTATTTTAAATAAATAGTACTGTACCTCATTTTTCACAAGGATTTCTTTATGTGCAAATGCATTTCATTTGTACTGGTCAATTTAATCAAGATTTTAAAGGGGTTCCTCTCAAACGGTTTTGTTAAACTTCTTAGCAAGTATCCTAGGACACTTCTGGGAAGCAATACAGCTGCCGTGTTTAACAGTGAAGCAACTATTTTAAACAAGATTTTACCAGATCCCTCCTGCATGGTGAAGAAGCGTTTTCTTCCAACTCTCAAAAAAAGTCAATAGATTTGTCAACAAAAAAAGATTTCAAAGAAGTGTTAGAAACATATTTCACAGTAACTAGAGCAATCATATTTATGTTCCAAAATGGAGTACAGCAACAATTAACTGACAGTTGTAGCAACATACTGTATCTGTGAATTACACTGCTCACAGGAACAACTGTGTTCAGGAATGCACAATGGAAGCAGGAGATAGGTTCAAGATGTTTTGGAGCAGGCTGAATTACAGGCAGATGTACATAACAGCATGTCCAGTCAAAATTAATTAAAGCAGAAATATACATAAGAAAATAGACAAAGAAGACCAAATCATGTTGTTATAATTAACATACCTTGCAGTCACACCTGTGGCTTTCCAAGATAAGAAATCCGGAAGATCAAAGAAGTAGCCTGCCTTCTCCCAGTATGATTCTTGCAAGTTCTAACCAAAAAAAAAAAAAAGAAAAAAAAAATTAGAGATTCAGATATTAGAGGCTAGGCATGATCATGTTATTATTTTAATTCAATTTAAAAACTTGACATTTATGTAAAAAATATGATTTTTCCAAACCCAGTATTCCGATTATCCAGTCTGCTCTACTCACTTTACAGTGATTTACTGCCTGAAGAACTGAGCTTTTCCCCCACCACAGACTGATCATAAGAAAAGAATTTCCCATGAAGAGTTCATGGAGGCACATGTCTCAGATCAATAACGTGGGCTCTCTCAGTTCCCTGTCAGTTGCTCAATTTTAGAGCAGTGTCAAAGTCAACAGACAACTTTCTCAAAAAATATTTGCTTGAAGATTGCCCTACTTTCTAAAATTAACCATTTTAAATTTAATAATTTTGAATTATAAGTACAGGAAGAAAACAAACAGCTCTGTGATCACAAGAACAAAACTTTCAAATCTGTTCCAAAATGACTGAAACATGACCGAAGCATATAAGAACCTGTTAGCTTTCAGTGAAACTTTTTTCCACAGCTGGGACATTTGGGAGCTCTCAAATGCCTGGATTAACCAGTAACAATCAGCTTTAAATCCACACTACAACCCTACAGTTGCCATCACAGTATGCACATGAATTCACACAAACAATTAACAGAAGTTTATCTTTGCAAACTCTGCCCTTCTGCAAAATTTCCTTGAAATGCATAACAACACACAAAGCAGTATGAGTGTCTAGGTTTCCATCTGAAAAGAGGTTCAACATTACTTCTTCAGCTGAGGGAAGGGAAGACAGTTACAGGAAAACCCTCCAATTAAGAGCATGGTAGCTGCAAGTTCCTGATAGCCGCATGACATTTCTCCTAAACTCCTAAAAAACTCCTAAAAAACCCTTCCACCAAGATAGATCATTTACAGAGAGTTTCCAACTCTATATTCTGCAGAAAACTAGTGGTCCAGAAGGCAAGAAGTGTATTGGAAGAGGCCAGTCATATCACCTGGGCCAGGCTCTATTCTTAATTTCTATCTTCAAAGCTTAGTCTGATTTAAGCTTATGATAGCAATGCACATTCTTAAAATTATTTTTCCACAACAACAATCTCCACACTTGCCACAGGAATCAGACGATGATAAAAGTGAAGAAAGTTTCCCCGAGAGTAACGTTTTATTCCAGTGTCACATGAAGAGTGAGCATCACTATCCTGCAATACAACAATACCATCCAATGGCCATCTCTGGCCTCAGTACATTAAAATAACTAAAGAATATCAAAACAAAACAAAAGTCAGTGCCGTTAACCACAAAGTTCACAAATCAGACTTCCGCAGGAAGACAAAATTGCTTTAAAAAGCTCCAACAGCTTTTTAAATAGCAAGAACATAAGTTAAGTCAACAGTTGCACCTAGCAGGCTAAGGCAGAGCTGGAGAGATACTTCAGATGGGCATGAGATGGGAAACTATGTGGGTCTTCATCTCTACACAAGAAATTTGAGGGATGATTTATTTGCCTTCTTGTCCTTTAGCTTTCAGGTCCCACCTTTTTCATCTACTCTCCACAAGTTTAGGCCAAGACTCTTGTACAATATTCCAGAAACAGAAGATTTTTTCAGAGAAATAAAAGTATTAAACACTAAGAGACTCTCAATAGCATAAGCTTTGTCAACAGCAACACCAAGTCCTCCTGCATCCCTCCAAAAATCCCTGTAAGAACCTGTGGTACATAGTTGAGCAGAAGGCCAAAATATTTCAGCAAAGGTTCTAGCAGCTTTGTTATTACACTCTTCTCTTCAAAGATTATTTTTTTCAAAATTATTCAGTAAATTGTCAATAACATGACAATTCAAATTATCTGCATTTTAAAAGCTGCCATCAGTTTTCTGGAGCAAAAATTAATCACATGCTATATCAAGAATGCACATGCTGAATTAAAAGAAAAGATAATCCAATTTAAAGAAATACTATTTGGATCTGTAACTTCATTCAGATACTATGCGGTATCATACCAAAATCTTACAAGTCCAGAAAGTTACTGACATGGAGTCTACGAACTCCAGAAACTACGGTGCAACTGGGTAAGTCCAAAAAAAACAACATTTTCTTTTGTTTTGGATCATGCAAAGAATCTCTCTTCTTTGAGTTCAGTTCTTCAAAAGCTTGTAAAACTTACCGGGTTTCTATTGAGTTCAAAAAAGAAATGCTCCATTACAACTTTTTAACATCAAATACACAACCTTTGGTTCCTAATCACTCAGGTTTAGCTTACCTCCTAGACCTATGTGGCTGCTACTCACAGAAAATTTAACTTTATGTGTGAATGCAAAAGTGCTCCACAGTTTAGTACAAAGGTCATTCAGCCTGATTATTTTGATAATAAAAGCCACTGCGTGTTGTTAACAAACGTGACAGTCTTCAAGAGGTGAGAGGAGTAGGTTGGCTCTTAGTATTAATCAGAAGAGAAAACAGATTGAGTTACTGTCCTCTTCAAACAAATCTGTTTCATCAAAGATACTCCTTGGATCTTATTCTATTACTTCAAGAATTCCCAAAAGCCACATGCTAGTGACACTAAAATATGTTGTTTCATGAACATCCAAATGATTCACTCTTTGCCATCTTGATGCTTTGTCATCACTAATTAGTACAGACAAAAAAAATCATTGCATGCCCTGATGCTTTTTCCAAACAAATTTAAAAGTCTCCATGTTTTCAACACTCACTGAAGTTAATTCTAATTTATTTTCACTCACAGTCAGGAATCTGTGACCACATTAAAAGGACTGTGGAAAAGATCTGGGAACATTCCCAATGCTGTATTCATATCCTGCAACTCACTCTCCAAACTCACTTGTAAAGAAACTAATTCAATCTTTCTATTTTCCAAGGGTACTTATGGAGTCCCCTTTCTTCATCTCTCTCCCTGATTGTTTTGGGCTTTTTAACAACTATACCTTCAAACAATACTTTCTGAGATCCTTACAGGTAATCCCAAATACCTGGGGGCAAAGAGTTTAAGGATTATGAAGTGCAATGTCTTTTAATCTTCCTAGACAAGGGTGTAGGAGACTGAGGGATGGGAGAACTGATACAAAGCACGTGAAAAGCCTCCACTGCCCATTTATTCCTTGACAAGTCAAAAGATTATCATGAAGCTGCACTGCACAATTTTGTATTGTGTTAAATGTATTTGTTGACTTCTTAACCGGACTGAAAATACACACACAGGCAGAAGCTCCAGCATCCAATATCATTTTTTGGAGACATCTACAGGCACACTCTCGTTAGGAAAGCTTTCACACTCATATTTTACTGATTTGCTGAAGTAGTCTGTTTCTGTGCAGGAAACTTTGATTTCTGCTCTTGCTGAGTATATAATTTTCTTATAAAATGATCTTCAGACATCCAATGATTGTGAAAACTTATTTTTTTTCCACCAGAAATAAAATGTGTATATAAACACCGAAGATGTCCTGACTTTTGTTATTGCTAATACAGATTAAATATGAATCAAATTATCTTAAATGCCACTACAGACAGCTTTCATATCAGATCCCTGTTGGCCACAGGATTAACTAAAGATGGGCTAGAAGCAAGACATCTGATTTTAGCACATCAGTCTGAATTTCATAGTTACTTATCAGACAAAACCCACAAATTCAAAGATCATCCAAAACTTGTGTGTAAGAAATCTAGATTAAAAACAGGAGGGACAGATGGAAGCAGAAAAAATGTTTTACCATTTAGTGTAAAAAAGAAAGCTGGCATGCGCATTCAAGTTCCACATCAGGTCAAAATCTAACTCATCTGAAAATCAGAAAAGAGACTCATTCACTGAAGGACCGTCTGCTTTTCCCAATTCAACCCCAAATTTGAATCTTAATCTCCCAGGCAGTCTGCAATAGTCGGCTATGTAGTGTATCAGTCTCTCTTTTTCTAAATTACAGAAAACAGATCAGATCAGGCACATTACAGACTGAGTTGGCAGAAGCTGTAACAAGGCAAGAAGGACAATCTACGTGCATGTTGTAAACCTCACCACATTGCAACGGGGTGGAGAGATACAGCTGGGGGACAGACTCAGTAGTACATACTTAGAGGTGTAGGTGCTTCAAACCTCAAAGCTGTTAATCCTTTTTGTAAATGGTATTTCTGCTTGATTAGCAACTGCAACTAAAAGCCAAACTCAACAGTCCAAAGTACAACTTATGCACGCATGTCTGCACTACGTATGGATTTTGATAACACAGAGCTGTTAAAGCATTTATAAACAATTCTAATCAAGAGTTCAGTTACAAACTCAGGAGCTTGGACTCATTCTGACTTAACATGGAATATATTATTTATTTTAATGGAAAAATAGTCACATTCAACAAAACAAAAAGCCAGCTGCAAAAACGGCAAGCAATGGAGAAGACATGCATCAACACAGAAGCTGCTGCCAAGCTAATGCCAGTACATCCACTATTCTCCCCTCAAAAAAAAGAGATGTTTTAATTGTTTCTGCAAATTATCCCATTGGTAGCTGCAAGTCACAGGTGTACAGAAAGAAGCACAACGATGCATAAAACGGCAGCTGTAACTGAAGATGTGAACTGCAACATAAAGATCACTGACCACTGTGCCAGAAAAAAAAATAAATTACTCAAAAAGTATTGATTTTAGTTATTAATTGAAGAGGAATTATATGCTAGCCAGTCACTCTGTGAATTGATTTATTTTTTTTTTTGCTATTATACACCCTATTTAGAACAGAGTTGTGAAAGCACAGTATACAAGATTGTATTTCATTTGGAGACAGTTACTAAGCAAATACCTATTCCCAGACCAGCATCCACCCATTTAGAATAAGCTACGGTATCTCTGATTTAATGGGATCAGTATTTTTTAGAAATAACTGATTTGTAATGTCACTAGTACAAGGAAAACATAACAAGCATCTTTTTGTTCTGGCACAAGCTACAATAAAATTTCCAGCCAGAAATTAGTAAAAAAGATTTTTTCTTCTGCTACCTCTGTGAAAAAAAATACCAACAGCCTAATTCTAGAGCTGGACAAACTTTCACTGCAGTTTTTACACTGCTCTGTTTAAACTGTGCTCTCACTGCTGCCATGTTGGTTTGCCACAGCACAGACATCTGTACATCCTGACAAACCTTTGCAACAAAATAATTTCCATTATTCAGTTCATATGCACGTATCTACCTACCAGAACTATCTATATGCTCATTCAGGCCGTGAACATCCAGCTTCTTTAGCCAAAGTCAACAGAAGAGCACAACCTGCTTAGCAAAGCTGCAAAAAAACATACCTGCAACTACAGAAGTAAAGAACTATTGCAATAATGTTTTGCAAGATCATTCTAAACAATGAAGGAATCTAAAGAAATAACAGCAAGAAGACTGAATTTAATTGGTTATTTTGAAAGACCCACTAACCAGGGAGTATTTCCCTTTTCAGTGAAGTTTACACTCAAACTTATCTTATTGACTTCAGGAACACTTTGTCAGAATTATCTTCCATCTAGTTTCCAAATATTTGCGAAAGGATAATGATGCTTTATTTCAACTTCATCTACAGTTGACGTTCTTAGTTCAGCTGACCACATTAAAAAGTCAAATGTGACTGCATCCACAGAAATTAGCTTTTTAAAAAAATATTTATTTTGTTTTCCATTACAGATTTAACACTGACCTCTCTTTATCACCACACATGGTCTACACAGGCAGAGAAGTACACTTATGCTTCTCAGAAGCAGACCACAGATGTGCACAATTTTGGTAAAGACTGCCCTATAGGCCATACAGTAGCTGCATTCGGTTGATCACTTACTGTAAACAGCTGTCCCCAACATGCAAACACCCGTTGCAGTGATGACTTTGTCATATGAACACCTATCTGCAGTCACAAACATCAAGATCACCCAATTTATTTCATGCAGACTAACCCCTAAGCACCAGAGGGTAACATGATTCGGCAGCAATCAAACTAAACTGAATGTAAGCTAATACAATTCAAACAAAAGATCACAAAAGGCCTATAATGGCCTTCATAGTCTAGTTTCCTAATTCAAAACCAAAATGGAATAGAGATGAAGAGTAGTAAGAACCGAACACACCCTGAAGCCTCTAGTCTCTAGCTAAATCTCTATTCTGTGTACAGTGGGAACATAAGGAGATGAAGAGAATCTTCAAGAGGTAGGCATTATATGGAAAAGAAAGTCAAAACGAAGCAGATGAGAGTAACTTGTGACTTGGAAGAAAAACTACAACATCCCTCTGCAAATAAATACAAGTCAGGTGTAACAGGAAAGCCACAAGAGAGAAGAAGCATCTACTTCTCGTATAATGACGTCAGCTCATTCCTCACAGTCAGTGAGGTCATCTTCAACTTCAATTCTAAAAACAAGCTGATGATGGGAATGGAAAAGTACAGTTAGATCACCTTAGTCCTCTCCCCCCTTCTCGTCCCTCTTCATTACTTCTAACCAATTCAGAGTAAATTTGCAAAGTCGTATTCTTTAGTAATACTTTCTATTGCTTAAATGAAAATTCTTCAAGTAACAGAAACTCAGTTTCTTTCTTTGAGGGACAGCCTGATCACTCAACACTTAGAAATCCTGCTATATCAGACCCTTCCTCACAGACATCACGTTTTCAGATACTACAGTTAGGAGAGCCCAGGTCAAATAGTGAGAAGGCAGGATCTCCTAATGCGGCCTTCCACAGTCAGGTTAGCGCCGTGGAAAGGGAGAGGGAGGCTTTGATGACAATGTACACACAATTAACCTGCAGCTATAACAACAGTCCACAGGGTCATTTGGTATCAATACCTTAAATGACTTCCAAAAGTGCAACTAGTTAGACTCCTAAATCACTAGTCTCCTGAATGACTTTTACCAAACTAATTTATAGTCACATTTGTGCAATTTATCTTGTATTAGCAAGACTGAAGTTTCATATGACTCACTCCACAAATACAGAACATGGAAAAGTCAAGAGAATATCTTGAATACTTATCAGCTAGCCAATAAACTCAGAAAGAAACACTTATATTTACGCCAGCCTAAATAAAATTTGAAGCTCAAGAAAACAATGCTAAGAGTTCCAAAGAACTAAGGATCCATGAAAAGGAACATATTTTGTTAGGACTCATTTTAAGGTTCCTTCAATTTCATGCTGTTTACTGTTACAAGTACATGAGGTTTGATTAAAAGTATCAAACATTTTCCCAGTGATACGAAAGATAATTCTGCTGGTTACATCAATGGGTCTATAAAGTGTTCTTAATTATTATTTCCAGGTTATTTTATCATAAAACAGTTGTTTCCCCCACTGCACCCTCTCTGCAAAACCTAGATCAATGCAAGCAGATATGGAATGTGCACAGCACCAATTGCAGGCAAAGATGTACAGGGAGAAAGTAGCAAAAGCATTTAGTAGCAGAAACATTAAACTCCTGGGGAGTCAAAAAAAGTTCCAGGGGATTCAAGGCAAAATTCAACAGTGAATTTTCATGTATCAGGATCCACCCATTGACCTGGAGCATGACTGCGCAAAGTGTATGGCTGTGGTTTTTGTTTTGTTTTGAAAACATCTATGTGTTGTATGTGTTGCAGCCATGGCAACCTTTCTAATCTAACTTTTCAGAAACACGATGCCTACCAAAGGGACAAAGGCCCAAAGTAGCTTCTGGGTACACCTCGGTTTAGACAGTTTTGATTAGGGCCAGCCATAGAAGAATGTGCCCAATCCACTGTTTGCCTTGAGTAATTGTAGATCACTTGAAGACACTCCACTGAATAACAACATATGTGCAAACTGGTGTTTTAGCTCTCATTTGGAGAACCTGACATTCAAAGTTACTGTCAAATTTGCCTTCCTTGGCAAAAAGTGAGAACACTTGCATTACATGAGGCTGAATTTCAGCTGTCAGAGGCTAACATGAACCTTTGCTGCTAGCCTAAAAGTCATGTTATACATAGGGATATTACTGTGATCGTCACTTAAAATAAACACCACTCTTCATACAATTCCTTTCACCCTCCTACTCTGCAACAAGTACAGAAGCAGTAAGCAGAGGGTCGATCACGTGTTTAACATGACATGCCTACACATCAACTGATTACAACCGCCCTCAGAATAAATGTTATTGTTCCTTCTCATGAGCTAGCTGAGGCACCGCTGCAGATGTTGCTTAAGGTTGCCTGAGTTAACCAGGGTAATCTTAAGCAGTTTAACAGTATGTTTTTGCTAGTCTACTCAGGATGCAAGACCTGGCGCATGAGCAGCTCAGCAAGCAGATACTGAGGTAAAGAAAAAACTTCTCTTAAGAATAATAATCTCTTTAGCTGGTATGTCAGGAGCTGAAAGGGGAGGTATGAGCAAGCCCTGTTGTGTAATGCCCTTCTGCCAGGCAATCTCTGCTCCTGGCTGCCATGCTGGGTACTGGGAATTCTGTTTCCTACCCATTTGCTCATGGAAGGACTGAGCCCTATAATACTTGCTTGCCCCTTTATACTACTGCAATTATGTCAGAGGCCTTTGAGGCCATAGCATTAGACTTACATCTCACATTTGAAGACCCTAAAATCTGACCTTTCCTATCAGTCAGATAATGATATTCCAGACCTTGAAACATAAGAATTTTTTTTTTAATTGATTAATCTAAGTTTTTTACCGTTTTACTTTTTATTATTTATAAATACATCTCAAAAAGGAAAGAACGAGTAGATGGATATTTGTATTTCAGTATAGCATCTCAAACCAGCATTCATTATCCTCTGTTATCATTAATCTGTCAGTACCTGCTTCTACCAGTTAATTCCTCTGACTTTCCCCAATCTGCACCTTGTTACTATATGACATTTCATGTTTGTAAGGACAGGAGACTGGCTGCTTGAAACTGGTAGCAAGTAATTTACATTTGGGCTTTATTAAAATGACAGCAAGCTTCACTGAGACCAAATGTAATAGCTAAACTGGAGGAGGGTATAAAAAATACAAGTGGCAAGCATTTCTCCTTTTATCTGACAGTTATTATTAAAAAGCCATATGTCATCCTGTAACACACACAATTTAAACACCAGAGACAGAGGTAGAGTTCCACACTATGAACAGAGAACCTTCCTTCTACAGATGGTTTACTTCTCACAGATGGGACAGAACTAAATTGAAGCTCGAACTGAACAGTTTCTCTACCAGCAGTCAAAGACATCACACATCCCCTCAGTGCTGGATGCAGAGCCTCCAAGGCAGTGCCTCTGGCCAGGATACCCAACGCTGAGATGGTGCCATTTTCAAATTGCTGTAAATCCATCCCAGAAGTAGCACCTACACCCCAATGTAAGCATGCCCAGCTACAACACTCGGAGCAGGAAATATGCCTCCGTAACTAAATCCTAGGATACTTACAGGACTCATTCAGCACCTGCAACTAAATTTGTATGTATGTCTAAGCTTAACATTACACAAGAAATGCGTAAGAAATGTTTCAATCAGGAAACACTAAAGTTCAATAAAATCAAAGCTATTTCTAAATAATTGAGAGAAAAAAAGAATCTCAAAACATTTTCATCACAACTTAAGTCTGGCCTTACTTTGCACATGTGTGGGTTCAACATTAAGGCTGAAGACTTTTGTTTTAGAAATTTCATTCCTAGAAATTTGCAAAGGGTATTAATCATTATTAAAAATGCACCACAGTCTTAGATGTACTCACTTCCTTTATCCACAGCAATTTAGGTGGCTGCATTTCAACAGACATCACTCCCCCTACATAGTTCAAAACTCTGTGTTGTGTTGCATTGATGCGCTCAACTTGACTGACTGCACGATGGTCCATCCACATAATAACATTCCTATGGTTTTGTCCTTGGGGAAAGAAAAAGAAAAATATATTATTCTAGGTCTGGTTTAACCCCACTTCAGTACTGTAAGTTACTAGAGTCTAACCTGCTTCATGTTTTCACTTCTACATAGGAAAATCAAATTCTATTATTTTAATAATCTGCAGGAGGTATCGAAAGACAAAATTCTAGCCCTTTGAGCCAACTTTAAGACATGCTGAACACTGAGAATGCTGACTGAAATTCATCAGTCTTGTGAGCACCCAAGAACTTTGAAACACTATGCTCTTGTAAACTATTTCATTCAAAGAACCCAAACCTCTTGACAAAGTACACATATCTAGCTAGAACTATAAAGAAGCATTTTAGTGACTAAGAACTAAAAATGTGACAAAATCTGAGCAATTACGTTATAAACTGAAATTAACTGAGCTAGTGAGCCAGCTAGCTAGTTACAGGGATTCTCTTTCCTATTCTATTGTTATGAGAACCACTCTAATTCCTTTCAGAAATCCAGTTTCAGGGGGGTAATTTGCGGAACTGTTTTTCTTTTGGACGTAGAAGGAAAAAAGCCTTTGGCAAGTCTGCATAACACAGGAAATCAAGAAGCAAAGAACATTTTATCAAAATTAACCTACAGAGGACCTGCTAGACAGGTGGAACAGTAATCCAGGTGACACTTCAGATTCCTCACTTGCTAAGGACACTGCACACTCAACTTCATGACACTGCCACTCACATATACTTAATCTTGAAAACATACTCGAAGACAAGGCAGAAGTATGAGGTGCACCAATATTTCTAACATGGATTGAAAACGAACTTTGAACTGCGAGACTGCCTGAAAGCAGACCACTGCACACCCACACCAGTGCAACAGTATTCAGTGCACTCTTGTCTTTTTAGTTAATAACAACACTGAGTAAACTCAAAGTTTTTGGGGGTATCTGAGAATAAAAAAAAAAAAGGAGAACTCAATTTGACTCATTAGACCAAAATAGCCCCAGACATCAATAGGCATTGAAGAGATTGCAAGAGACTCTCTAACTGAAAAATAAATAATCTCATCCAAATTTAGCAAAGGACATTTTGGGGGCAAAGCTGGCTTTCTGAGAAGGATAGGAGGAGATGACAAATATATCTGAGAATAGAAAGGGAACATCAACAGAATTGTGATTATCGCTCTGTAACTACTGATTTAGCACACACCTAATCTTAAATGGAATTCACAAAAAAAGTGCATCACATACTTCTTGAGTGTTCTGAATCACCTACTCAAAAACTAAAAAAAAACATTAAATTTTTTAGAAAAAGGTCACAGATTGTTTCTGAAGCTTAGCACTGTCCTAGACAAAGACAGAACAGCAGGGTAATAAAATACACAAGCCTGCAGCTCCAGGACAGAGTAAGCAGTTAGACGACACTAACACTACATTTTTAGCATTCCTTTAGCCAGTGTAGATTGGCATTTATACACACTATGAAAGTCATGATTAGTAAAGTCTGAAGGAGGAGAAAACATGCACGAAAGAAAAATGAACTTTTTCTTTCATTGCATGCTCTAAGCGTCAGTGTCTCTGATTCAAGATGAATTTGATCTTAGGACACCAAACATTTAGCCAAATAGTAATTTAATTTTGTAGTAGAATTAAAATAGTAAAATCTGAAGAAAATCCTCTTGTAAAAAAGATTTTCTATCATCTGTATCTCCAAGAGTCCCACCCATAACTTGTCATTTGGATGAAATTGTACGTTCACTCACATCAGTGACAAAACATGTACAGTAACACCAATTATTGTGCTGGAGTCGTACCTTCACAGTTGACTGCCAAAGGTTGGAACTGTTTATCCACAACAACAAGAGAACATGTAGCATCAAAACCAATCCCTCGAATCTGTCTGGCATCTACTCCACAGACAACTTTCTGCAAATATACAAAACACACATGAATAAAAATATATCCATATATATGCAGGTACCATGTGAACTAATGAGTACAGAAAATGAGTTACAAGTTAGAAATGCAAGCTCAAACTTTGAAATTTTTGAAATTCAATATTCTTTAACACCTCTAATCAAAAATACACCCAATTACCAAAAATTCTTTGGTTTTCAAAACTGTATTCAAAGGTCTATGAAAAGTTCTTTAATAGCTTTTTAATCTTACTAGCCACAGTCCTAGATGAAAGCAGGAAGCACAAAAATATCAGAAAATAAAGGTTGCAGAAAACCAGCAAAGTTAATTTTCTCTCTTTTCTAAAAGCCTGGAGTTCATCTGCACGTGAAACATGAACACAGGATTAGGGCTAAGTGTTTCCATCAGTTGCTTCACTCAGTTCCCACGTGTGGAAGCAATGAACTTCTAGAACATTTTGGTAATACTGTGCAACAGCTTTTTGTCTTGCAATAGTGAAGTGTCCCAAAAATAAAGTTGGTCAAATCCCTAGCACTGATAATACCTCTGCAATGCACACTTTTTCAAAAGATCTGCTACCAAGAGTTTGGATAGCACACCTTTTGGAAGACTTTCCAAAAAAAATCACCACCCTAAAAGGTTTGAACTTCATGGCTTCCAAGCAGCACTGGAAATAAAAACACAACACCCACATGGATTAAGTGCCAAGTGAGGTTGCAAGACACCTAAACTATAACGCAGTAATAAATTGCCACTTCTCAGCAACAATAAAAATATCATTATTTTAATTAGCACTATAACGAAAGACTTTCACTAGACTTGCTACAGTGCCAGTCTCTTACTGGCTCTGTAAAGCTACAGTTTCAGAGACTGTATTTTATTGCTCACATATAAGAGACTGTTTTTAAAGAGGTCCAGTGCAAGAACAAAGCAATTCACAAAGAGAAAAATCAAGTAAGCAGAATAAAAGACTTGCTCTGCTTTAACATCAAGCTGTTCTTCCCCATCACACCTGTCACTCCCTTCTTTTCCTTCCTTTCCCCTCACCTGTCTCCTTCGTCTCAGGGCATTTTTGCAGAGGCAAGCTCATTAATGTTTGAAAAGGCTGATCAATAACAAGAGAACGGGTGAACTGCCCATCTGCAAATTACCAACTATATCATGAATATTTAAAAAGCCAACCTTAGAACATGGAGCAGGCTGGGGCTTTATTAAGAAGGATGAAATGGCACCCATGGGCACTGCCAAGCAAGGTCACTAATTTACCACCAGCGTGTACAGGCAGATCCTTGTATCAGTCAGCACAAATTTTCCCTCATAGAAAGGTTTATTTCAATCTGATTTTACACTTGATACGATCCACAAACACATATAATTTATTCTGGTCTTATAACACTGGACAGGCATCTTAATGAGGACCACAGGTGACAGACATTATGTTAGGCACCACCCACAAAACTGACTACAACTTCTCGACAATAAACGCTCTGTTGTGACTCCAGTGCAGCACAACGCACATCTTTAAATATATTCATTACCAGGTTCTGAGCAACCTTGACTCCTCAAAGAACTGTCTTGTGGCTAGAACGTACACCAGCAAAACAAAACCTACAGATGTGAATACTGAAGGTGGTAAATTTTGTTTTTCTTTGCATACCTTTGTGACTGAGCAACAAGCAGCCCATATGTCTGCAGAGGATTGCTCATAGTGGTCTGGTTGGGGCTCCCAAATTTGGATTGGCTGCTCTGCATGTGCCACTACCATTCCAAACTCATCTACCAAAGCTGCGCGAACACTTGCTGACCCAACATCAATTCCAACATAGTACTTTACTGAAGCCTGCTTCTCACTGTGCATTTTTAATAAAACCTGTTGGTGGGAAAAAAAAAAAAAGTTAAAAACACATAAAATGATGGAAAGCTGTGCTGAACAGGACAGGAGAGATGCTGTGCAGGCACTTTGCTTGATAACTCTTTTTTGCAGCAAGTCTTCACTTGGCATTTTTTAATTAATTAGAGTTTTCAAGACTTGCACTAGTTCTACTTTTTTTCTTCAAAAATTTGTATATAAGTTGCATGGCACAGAAACTCCTGAAAGGCATATTGTAAATTTGCATGTAAGAATATGCATGATATAATAAAATTCACACACTCATACAATCAAGGAACTGAGCTGTGGTCCTACAGCATCATGCCCACATAAAGGGAAAAAGGAGGAAGGAGACAGGAAGGGAAGGAAAGGGTATGGTTCCAAACTCAGCAGCAGTCAGGAGCTGTTGCTTTACACAGATGGGAAATTTCAGTCCAGACACTCCTGGTTTTTTTTCCTGAATTCTGGCAGATGGGGAAGCTGCTGATGCCTGGTAAGCTGGATTCACCTCTGGCCAAGACAGCAAGAACCACCACAGATATGTCACTGCCTCAACGCAAACAAATTCTACTCCAGAAGTAGCGAAAGGGGTGGTGTGCCAGGCTCCACTGACCCCTGAGCTGCAGAGGAACAAGAAGCCAAGAGCTGCTGTCTCCCTTAGAGCCAACCCGATAATGAATGGCATCTTGCTGCTGAATGAGACAGGGAGTCAGGCTGAACTTCTGCAGCATCTGAAAACAGCTTCCCCTCCACAAAAAAAAGTGCTGTGATGCTGATAATTAAAACAACCAAGTGACAATCTGGTAAATATTACCCAATTTTGAGCCCTGCAAAGAAAAAGAAAAAAAAAAAAAGCCAAACAAACACACCCAAAAAACAAACTGGTTAGGTTTTTACAAGCTATCCACCATCAATCCACACAATTTTAAAGATTCAGAAAATAATTTGCTGAACATGTGTTGAGTTATGAGAGCATGCCAGGAAATCTCTGCCTAGTCTCTGACAACCTACAAGAACAAAGTGAGGTTAATTGATTTAATTATTCCCAATGAGTTGCTTACTTCACTATATTACGTTTAACTATTTGACATTTAATACAGTGACGAATGCATTGTACTTAACTTCTCACAGTTTGTCCTTAGTTAACATTTACATTTTAATCCGGCTGGGAGAATCTTGAGAAAGAACTGATACGAAGTATTTGAAACATCAGACAAGCATCCAGTTTAGTGCTTGTATGAATCTCCTATTAAGCCTCAGAAACACACAAAACTCAGCTGACACATAGCTTCTGATTTCCAGAAAATTAATGGATCAATTACAATTTGATGAATACACGGTATTTACAGAGCACCAACATGACTCTCCTTAAAAACATTAGCATGAGGGAGTTCTGCCCATCAATAAAGCTCCTAAGCAGCCTGGTACAGACTAAAGCAGTTATCACACCACATTCTGCACGGACCACGGCAGGGTCGCTAGTGGAAGCTGTACAGATCAGTAGCTTCTAACAATATCAGAAACCAGAAAAAATTCAAAGCTATAGAGCACACTGCGGTACTGATGGAAATACTAGCTACTCTCTTTCAGCATCCTGATTCTGCCCAGTAGATTAGGTGCAATACACACGGATCTTGTTAAACAAGGTCATCTATTCAAGAGATGAGCAATCAGCTAAAAATAATGGTGTGCCATGAGTCTAACACCTAGAATATTGGCAAGAAAGCTCACTTTATGTTCTTGGCCCTGGACATATGACCTGGTCACACTAACAAAAGCTAATGCCTCTGTCACAGACAGGACACTTCTCCTGACACCAGTGATTAATACCACATCTATCAGCTGGGGATACTTACAGCACTCTGCATCTTCCCCTTAGCCCTTGCCTGGTTTAAGACATCTTTTTCAACAGATGATGTTCACTTTTTAATTTTGCACTCCATCTCCTCAAAGCTTAAAATGCTGGCTGCAGATGCTGCTAGCTACTTGCAAGAAATTTTATTATAAAGAAATTGCATAAGACTGTTCCTGATCCTATCTCACGATTTTCCCTCTTTTACCCTATTTCAGCACTGCCTTTAGCTGCTGACTCATAAAAAGAAGAGAATAAACCACAAGCTGCAAGGCAGATTTAAAAAAAAAAAAAAAAAAAAACAAAAACCAACCAACCAAACAAAAAAAACCCAGGCAAATCTTTCTTACTTTTCACAAAATACAAATAGCAAAAGGAGTACTTTGCATCCTGTCTCCTTCTCACACACACACAATATTACTCTAAATTTTTATTTCTCTTCCCTCTATGGCTGCCTTGATTTTAGCTCATTAATGTGTTTTTGCTTCTCAGAGAACAAGCTTAACAGATGTTAGAGAATTAAGCTCATAGTACCTCCTACTCAGCACTTAAAATTATGGCTTTGCATTGGATTCTTCCCACAAACATTTGAAACCTGGAACCCAATCAGCCCATGTAATGTTTACTTTTCTTTTTTCCTTACTAAGCAACCAGGATGCTCACGTGTGAGTGACTGCGCAGGAAGCAGAGCTTGTTTATATGCTCAAGCAGTACGTATCAGTCTGTACATATCCACTATTTTATTTCTGTGTATCTGTGGACAACTAGCAAGAAAGAGTTAAGTGACAAAGTCCAAAACAAGAACCACAAACCTACTTAAACTGGTCTTTCTCTGAGTAAAGCTCACCTAGATTTACAAAGCAATACTTCAGTATCTTACAAAAAAAGGTTAAAAGTAAATATTAATCCTTTTTTCAAGCACAGCAAGTACTAAGTCAATCCTGCAATAGGATCTGATCTGCTTGCAAAAACATAATTTGATGCCAAGGGTTTTTCTGGAATACCAACCACTTAGTATGCCAGCTGCTTGTCAGCCGGATCCACAAAATGCACTGTCATCTCTAGGTCATAAGTGTCACCAACTAGGGACCCTGCGTAAAGGTATTTCTTGAGAACCTAAGAACTCAGCAGAGAGTTTGGTGCAAGATATTTAGCCAAAGTACTTTACTAAGATTTAACAAGGAATGTTGCTGCTTGGTTTTGTTTACAGAAGACTCCTTTGGTACAAGAGGAGGCTTCAAATCAGAAATGAAGAATATCTGTAACGGAGTTCCGAGGTAGAAGAAGGTCCCAGCACAAACTTCCTGATTTGGAATCCAGGCACCTACGTTCGTTGCCATGTACAAATAAACTTTTTTTTGTGGAAATAAAACTTAGCTTTGGATTTTGTATCTACTGGATTCTTAGCATACACCTTCTGCAGTCAATACAATCGTAAGAAAAATAGCGAGCCAGAAAAACAGCCAAAATAAGAAGCACAATTCCTTAAGCACCATATTCCTAACAAGACAAAAATATTTGATGCACAGATGATGGATGTTTACAGATGACAGCATTTATGACCTTCCCAAGTCGTGGCAAGCAGTGGTGACAATACCACCACCTTTTATACCCCCTCAAGTACCTAACCCAGGAAGCCTGGCTTCTTGCAGCCAATAAAAAAGGCTCACAAAAAATTCAATATAGCTTTGCCTGTCTGTGGCAGACTTAGGGCCTCATATTTACAACCTATTATTTGAAGTTGCAAACAGAAAGAGAGGGAGAGAGAAAAAAAAATTGCAAAGACACGTCCAGCTTGACTATGTTAGACCATGACTACAACTGCTATGACAGGACAAGAAGCCAAAATTCCCTCCCAAGCACTAAACCAGCAACGGCCTCTTTCTTTGCAAATCACAGCAGGGACAGAATGGCTTTTCAAACAAGCATTTATGATCAAAGGGCTACAGCATATGATAAATATTTATATGGCCCATTAAATAATAGTCTGTATAAATATTATTCAAAATGTGTGTGCTGGAAACCACAGACTTCCCAGTTTATCCTTAAACAAATGTGTTAGTTTTCCCACATAGGCAATGAAAAAAAGGAAGGGTAAAACTGCCATTTGCAAAAATATTTCTTTAAAAAAAGAAAATCCTTAACATCATTTACATTAATTTAAAAGGAATGACTAAATAACCATATGACTGTTTCATCACAACTACTAAACTCAGTTTGTGCTGCCTCACTTCATGGTTATCAAACTGCAAGGACGTACCTTTCTGTTAAAGCCACAGCACAGGAAGGCTGCACACCCATACGCATGCAGGCCGAAGCTCAGCAGAAGTATTTATCAGCGGCAAGTATAGATTTAGTGGTACCGTGTGCTTCAATACAAGGAATTACAACGGACTGGCATGCCTGTTTTAAACTTTGATCTTTGGAACACTGCAGGCTGCCCAGACCCAGAGATCATGGATAAACAGTACGTTTTTAGTAGTGCAGCTGTGCTTTTCTACAGATTACTGGGAAAAAGTTTAACAGGCTCAAATCAGGCTTCATAATGTTAGTGTGAAAAGATCTAAATATGTTAAATAAAAGCTGGGTTTCAATTGTAGAGATGAGATAAAACAAAAGAAGCATTTTTTACATTATATTGGAAATCCAGCATTTTGTTGGCTTTCTACGGTTACAGCAAACTAACAAAGGTTGTGGCAGCAGAGTGTCAAATCTCTTCTTGAAGACAGTGAACTAACTCCCTTTCCTCTTCCAGGATCTTTAATTCCTGTTTGGATGTGAAGAGACAAAGAAGGCACATGTCTGTGTGGGAGAGTGGGAGCAGATGGGGAATTCTAAGGCTGTGTTGAAGGGCAGTACTAATACAGAATAATACCTTTAAATGCCCAAGGGACTATGCTATAACTATCAACAAGCATGTATTTTTCAGCTACCCAACAGCAAACAAAACAAAAACAAGGAACAAAAGTACACCTCATCTCCCCTTTTCCCTTCCCAAAACAGAAACACGTACATGCAGGAGATTTCTGTCTTAGGAATGTGAGGTCTGTATTAACAATTACAAAACTGGAATAAATGAAAACCAAGCTGGCCAAAGTATGCTTCTTCACTAAACACCAGACACTTCTAGATTACTTCACCC